AAAAAGGTATGATTGAGTGTTCAATGTCATGAATAGCTGCAAATAGTGTGTGTACTGTTTGTATTTGGGCTTTGTTTGAAATGTGGCTCCAGTTATGAATACATTTAAAACATTCTGTATACTGGATGTACATAATTAGAATTATATTATTTTGTGGGGTATTTTAAGGGGGAGTCACAACTTGTTACAACACTTGAAAGTCCCTGCTGCTGCTATTGAATTATGTCTCTGAGTTCAGGTGTGTGAATTCATACTGGTTTGAATTTGTGCAACTGATGGCAGTGACAAAGACTTTCATGAAAATTCTCCATGTCACTTGAGGTAAATTGTGTTTGTGACTTGGCTTAGAGCAACACAAACTCTCTGGATGCTAAATGTGCCTATACATTCTCTGTAAAATTTTTAATTTTTAATAATGTGTGCCTGAGAGAATTTTAAATGTATCGGGCTAAAAATGAGGGAGAAGGATCGGTATGTCCTATATTTTGATAATTTAATACCCATCTTTTTGTAGCTTGGTAAGAAAACGAAAAGCTTGGGCTAACGAGCAGAATAATGTACACTATTTGATAGATAGGTAGCTACATGGCAAAAATCAATGAAGGCATCCTTTCTTGATGTGATTACAGTGCTATTGTTCTCACCAGTATCTCATTTGGAAATGTGTAGCAGTTGGAAAGAAAGAACTAACTAGTTAATTTAAAGGCTGACCTGCGAAATTAGATATACTCTAACAACTGTAATTGGTTGTATCACTATCCATTAATAAGCTCACTCATAATGTTTGTTTTGTTTTTTTTTTTATCTTAGGCCCTTTCCATTTTCTATTGCTGGCAAGAAAAGGGGACCTGCGGCGTATATCACTTGATACACCTGATCTCACAGATGTTGTTTTACCCGTGTCTGGAATCAGCCATGCAGTCGCAATTGATTTTGATCCAGTGGATAGATATGTTTACTGGAGTGATGATGAAAAACTTGAAATTAAAAGATGCCGGTTGGATGGAGACGGTTAGCCAACCTTGAACTTGAATACACTAATTATGTTAACTGTTTTGCGCAAATTTATGGTAACTTTACAAAAGTTCTGTCAAGTCTCTCAGACAGTTTTTCTGGTACCATTTATGTTGATGAATGGAAAGAGTAAACTACAGCTTCAGTCACCAGAACTTGTCCTGCTTGCTATGGCATCCAAAATATTTATATGGAGTATTAACCAACATGAGGGCCGGTCTGGAAATTAATCTTTCTTCTAAACTGTTTTCTGTCTTTTTCTTTGTATTTCAGATGTTCAGGTAGTAGTAAGGAGTGAGCTGAAACATCCTGATGGTATTGCTGTTGACTGGGTGGCGCGGAACTTGTACTGGATAGACACAGGCACTAATAGAATTGAAGTCAGCAGACTAAACGGCTCTGCCAGAAGAGTTCTTATTGATGAAAATCTTGATGAACCAAGAGCAATAGTATTGGATCCAACTAAAGGGTAAATATCTGGGTAAAATTGTTATTTACTGGCTAGGAAATCTGTGCCCAAAGTCTTGAGTACAGCCAGAGGCCAAGAAAGAAAGCCATACTCATGTTGGAAGGCACAGTGTTTCCCTAATAGGACTGACTGAGGCTGTGAATAACTGATATTTTTCTGCTGATTTTGCTTTTTCAGAATGGCAGGGAAAAAATTCTGAACCTCGTTTGGTATTGGGAAAGACTGGATGGGTTAGGAGCCCATGACTAAGCCTTGCTGAGATGTGAAAAAAAAAACAAAAAAACAGCAAAAAAATGGATTTTAATATTTTTATTTATTTTCATACTGAAAGTTGGCAAAGGCATGCAAAGAATTTTAAATTAATTTTTGTTATCAAATGTGTCAGTGAGAAAGGCTGTTATAAGTTTGAAATGTTCTAACATGGTCTCACTTAGGTACA